GAGGCGGAAGCCCAGACCCTTCTCCATCACAGCCTGTCAGTCTCTCACCCAGACTGGACTTTCGGGGGCAGTGCCCAGCGCAGCCTGAGGAGCGTTGGCGTGAGGGACAGCCTCCGGGGCTCCCAGGCCATGTAAGTCCGCCTCCTTCCCTGCGTGCAGTGGGCAGACCTGGCTGGTGGGAATGAGGACAAGGAGGACGTGGTGGGGACCTGCCTGTAAGCTGGTCCACGGGACACCATCTGAAGAAACAAGGCCGTGAGCAAAAAGCCCAGGGACCTCTCTTTGGGCCCATGTCTTTGTGTGGGTCCTCATTTGTCGGTGTCCCTGGGTTTCTGTAAAGGGAACCCTGTTGGCGCAGTGGCTAAGCGTTCGGCTGCTAACCGAAAGGTCAGCAGTTCAAACCCACCAGTCGCTCTGTGGGAGAAGTCTGCTTCCATAGAGAAGACAGCCTGGGAAGCCCTCTGGGGCAGTTTTGCTCTGTCACATGGGGTTGCTGTGAGTCAGAATTGACGATTTCGGGTTTTGAATGAGATGTGTTTCTGACCGTGGGTGGAATTCCCCCCGGGGCCTGGTGACACTCACAGCCTCCACCAGGACTGAAGCGCTGGCAGGAGGGGGGGGAATGCAGGAGCTGACGGCCGTCTCTGGGGAGGGGCTGGGGCTCTGGAAGCACCTGGAGGGGTGGGGGCTTGAGAGGGAGTCTTGGCCCAGGGGTTCCCCGGACAAGGGGAAGGGTCCCTAGGAAAGCCTGACTCTCTGAGCCTGGTTGGTAGCAGTAAGATGCAGGGCAAGTCCCATGCCCTCTCTGGGCGCCATTGCCCTCCTCTGGGGCAGAGTAGCATTGCCCGATGCTCAGGAAGCGGCCCTCCACGCTAGGTGCCATCGTAGGCTTCATTCTGAGGGCGGACCGCAGGGATCCTCGGGCTCAGTTCCAAACCACCAACAGCGCCGATTTCACAACAGAGCGCCTCCTCGCACATGTTTTGGTTCCAGCACGTAGAAGTTATATTTATGCCACACTGTTGCCAATTACACTCGCGACAGCACTAGGAAAAGGCTTGAACTATTATGAGACTGACCAAGACGTGACACAGAGACATGACCGGAACACAGACTGTGGGGAAAATGGCGCCGACAGCCTTGCTTCACTTAGGTGAGGCTGCCACAAAGCTTCAGTCCGTAAAACAGCACGTCTGCAAAGCGGGATAAAACTAAGCACAGGAAAATGAGGTCTACCTGCATAACCTCGTTTAATTCTAATTACACCCATAAAGGAAGGTGTTACTATCCCCACCTGAACATTAACTCGGTGCTGTCAAGTCTCTGCTGACTCACAGCGCCCCTAGCGGAGAGAGTGGAACTGCCCAACAAGGTTTCCCAGGCTGTCAGTCTTCACAGAAGCAGATTGCTTATCTTTCTCCTGCAGAGCAGCCGATGGATGTGCGTCGTCAATCTTGTGGTTAGAAGCTGAATGCTTAGCCACTGTGCCACAAGCGCCCCTTATCCCCACTTTCCAAAAAAAGCCAAACTCTGCCGTTGAGTTGATTCTAACTCATAACGACCCTGTGGAACTGTGTAGAACTCCATAGGGGTTCCAAGAGTGTAAAATCATTACAGAAGCAGACGGCCTCATCTTTATTTTGCTGAGTGACTGGTGGTTTCAAACCACTGACCTTTTGATTAACAGCCAAATGCCTTAACATCTGCACCACCAGAGCTCCTTCATCCCCACTTTACAGATGAGAAAATGGACGCACAGAGAGGTTAAGTCACTTGTGTGAGGTCACACAGGTAGTAAGCAGAATTGCTGTGATTTGAACCCAGGAGGCTGTGCCTGTCTTCTGTTCTGGAACTCCTCGTGTGACAGTGCCTGACAGGTATTCACTGACACCCCAGCGCAGCTTCCCAAGCTCAGACCGTCTCTGCCCATTACTGGCTGCGCACCCTTCCATCAGGGACACCGTACTCCAGCCTCAGGCTCCTCAGCTGTGAAATGGAACCTGCCTGGCCTGTCACAGGTGATTGCCTTAATGAATAATTTCCCCCCGTGGAGCTCTGATGGCACACTGGTTAAAGCATTCGGCTGCCAACCACAAGGTCAGCCGTTTAAATGCACCAGCTGCTCCAAGGGAGGAAGACCAGGCAGGCAGGCAGCTTCCCTACAGACTGACAGCCTGGGAGACCCCGTGGTGCAGTTCCACTCTGTCCTCTAGGGGCGCTGTGGGTCAGAATCCATGCCAGGGCAGTGGGTGTGGTTTGGGCTCTGCTTCTGTGAAGATTGACAGCCTTGGAGACCCTCTGGGGCAGTTCCACTCTGTCCTTCAGGGGCGCTGTGACAGAAAATAACTCTGGCAGTGGGTTTGGGTTTTTGTGGTTTTTCCCCATGTGGCCTGAGGGTCAGGAAATGTACAGCTGCCATGTCCGCCCACAGTCTTTCCAGAAGCACCTGCAGCAAGCCAGGCGCTGGGCTGGGGCTAGGGAGATCATAGTCGTGTCATTACGACTGTCCTGATCAGATGAGCACTGGAGAGGCTAAGCCCATTGGCAACGGGTCGAGTGCGACTTGTGGTGACCCCATGTGCGTCACATAGAGCTGGGCTCTACCAGGCTCGCACTGGCTGACTTTTTTGGAAGTAGATCGGCCAGGCCTTTCTTCCGCACCACCTCTGGGTGGACTGTCTGGAAAGGCCCAG